GGTTCAGCGGAGCATCGCATCGTAGTGATCACACGTGTACTTTCATCGTCACGATTTCTCGCAGAGGCTAATCCTTTTGTGCTCAATATATAAATACATACAACGCATAAATGTCTCTCTCTCTCTCTCTCCCCCCTCTCCCTCTCCCTCCCCCCTTCTTTCTTCACAAAGGAGCCTGCAATAAACAATTGCAACATTCCTTAATTTTTATTTTGAAACTTTTTTAACTACGTTCATTCACCACACTTATACTTTTACGTATCTGTGTTCCTAACAGAATTGTTCTTAATTAACTCACGAATAGAGTAGCGTCACGAAAAATGACGGCGTTGATTGCGCGCGAGTTGTCTCAGAGTTACAATCAGTTTCTAGTGTGGCGATGATATCGGAAGTTACGAAAACTAACATTTTCCGCGAGCGTTGCGTAGCCCTCGGATTAAAACGGGAAAAAACGTCGGCCGAGACGAGGAAAATGGCTTTTCCGCTGAAAGCTCAACCTTTGACCGCCGTCACCGAGGCTCTTTTGGCCAACCGCCATCATCGTCCAACCCTCATCCTTCGACTGTCTCCATCTCTCTCTCTCGCTCTCTCTCTCGCTCTCTTTCTCTTCCCCTTGCTCTTTCACTCCAACCTTGGTTTGGAATAATTAAGCGTGCCCGTAGGAGAGACGTACCGAAAGTTCAGTTCGCCTCGATATAGCACTGTCCTCTCGCCACCGCGGTTACTTTCCTCCATCCGGGCGCCCCCGCCGACGCGATACCGCCACCCTTTGCGAAATCGGTCGACGCTCGTGCCTTGGTGGAGACGCCCATGCTGCGAGGGGATAGATAGGCGGTGGCTAGGAAGGATCGAAGGGATAATGGATTCCGAAACTAAATGAAACGCAAGCTCCGACGTCGCGTTGCGCCGCGCCGCACCGCGTCGGGTCCGCGGCTAATCTCGAAACTTCGTTAAATGCCCGTAATTGCATCTCCTACGACCCACCACGTTCCCAGGCATCCGCATCGCGCTTCGCGGTACTCCTATTCGTGAACAATCCAGGGAAAACCTGAAGCAGGTATAGACGAACGCATCTATTTCTCGGCAACGCTTCCCGCTCCCAAACTTCGATACAATTTCATGCAAGTTCGACTGACGGTCTTAAAATGCGAACGGCAGCATGCGAAACTTTATCCCTCCCTTGTTCCCTGCGGTTCTCTGTTGGGAAATTTTGGTGACATGACAAATGCGAAGGTTGAATTGCATCGTCTTCCTGGACAGGACACTCCTATAAGGATATCACTATAGCTGGTTTACATTCGAATTCGGACAGACATTCATTGACAATTCTTTATAGCATTTCAAAGATCAGTTACTTCGTCTCAAATCGAATTAATTTGAGATCTACGTCGTAAACTTTAGGATCGTATTCTGTAGTAAAGTTTGGTCTAATACTTAAAGTACGAGATCTTTTTCTCGAATTGTCTTTAGATTGTACTGTCATTGATTGTCACTAATTACTTTGATAAAATAAACTTGTATCCGGCACTCAAAACGAAAATACATTAATAATGCAGAAATCTTTTAGTAAAACTCACTGTATACATAAAAGTAAATGTTATACCATGTTATAAATCATTGACATCAAATTACATCGCTGCAGTTTGCATCGCGCTTCCCGGAACGGTTTCATTTATCTCGTCGGATATCAATTAAATGAGAAATCGACTTCGATTCTAAATTACCGTCAAAGGCAGGGAAATAATATCGATAACGCTGGTAAGAGTGGCGACGATAACGAGCCAATATCAGCTAGTTTTTACCGGAGAGTGGCGTGTTATTCGCATGTTGGGCGAAGTTGTTGGCAGTATGGTTTACTATCCGCCTGTGCTCTACGTTCGATGTAGGAGAACTTTGTGAAATTTCTTTTTTTTCTCGGAAACTTCGTAACCCGATTTTGTCCTCGATTTTGTCCTTGTATCCAATTTTACGGGGAAAGATAGTCCCTTCTTGTTCTCGCTATATTGGTCCTTTTTTTTCTCTCTCGCTCTTCTTTCCTTTTTCTTCTCCTGTCGTCTACACTCGTGTCGCAATTTTTGTTCTATTGCCACCTTCTTCTTGTTGGGACACTTTACACGGGGGTAAGCCGTTGAAAACCGTGAGAACAATTTTACATAAGTTGCGCATATGATGCAGCACGAAAAAACTCAACGCGGAATAATTTACCGAATATTTCAAAGACGTTCCCAAGAATACACTGTATTCCCGTGGTACGTTATAATATTCAAATTTAAAAAAAGAGGCGAGAGAGAAGAATAGGATAGCGTAGAGAGTAAAGTAAAATTAAAGTACTTTATTTTATATATGAGAGCAAAATCTCCTTTTAAAAATACAATGAACGAAAAATGTTAAAAAGAGGAATGAATTATAAACAGCAGAAATCAAAAGCAAAATAAATTTCTAAATAATGCGCTACTAACAATATTACTTATATACTTCTGAAGACTAGAACTGAAGAAAAATTGTATAAATCTAAAGATTTCAAATATTTCTTTTAGAATACTAATTGTAATTATAAGAAAGATTTGATTATTATTACGAGTATTATTAATAATTAAGGCACAAACCTTTAGTTTTTGAGTAATAAAAAGACAGATAAATATTATTCTTTATTAGACACTTTAGACACTGTATCCTCTCAAGCACTGAAAACAATACATGATTAACAACAAAAATATAAAAAATATAAAGAACCAAATTTACAAAGTAAAGATAATGAAGAAATAACAAAAAATAATAATAAAATTACGATAATAGAAGAGAACAATAGTAGAAGATTTAAACTATAACATAATACAAAAAAATATAAAAAATAACATAATACAAAGACAGAGAAAGCTAGAAAGAGAGAGAGAGAGAGAGAGATGCTATAGATAAAAAGAATTAACGAGAATCTCTCCTATGCGCTGCAGTGTCACTATGGTGCTACTATTATTTAGAAACATTTCAGCCTTGACTTGTCGCAATTAACTCAGGAACATACGACAAAGTAAGGGTCTACTTGACGCACGATTCGGTGGATTGTAGATAACGATTCTCATAGAGCCGGATTGGCGTAATTCGATTAGCTTTACGACGTACTTGTTCTGCCATCGGGCAACAGCGTGTCGAGAGCATTAAGAGGGTACGCCGAGCAAGTGATATTACTGTAACGCCAAAACTCCCGCGCGGACAGCTCCAACATCTCACGGAAGACCTCGGCACGCCCCAGCTGGCAGGCGAGTGTCAACGGGGTCAGGCCCGCGGCATTCACGATTCCATTGCGAGCAGGAAGCTTCGGATGTCGCAATGCGTAGCCGAACATGTCCTACGTCAAATAACAGTTCTCTACGCGAGTCGTTTTCGTACAGTGGACCATGTTGGCAGAAATGTTAATATCCATGTTTTACTATTACGGGACGAAATAAAAAATGTGTGGATGACATAAGTAGAATTAGAAAAAATGTAAATCTCTAAAAAGGTATAAAAATAATTGCCAAAATGATGTAGTAATAAAATCTATTTAAAAATATTCCACTTTTTTATAGTAGCATTTGTTTAACACTAGAAGTACCAAGGTTTCTTATTTACTAAACAGACCAAGTGAATAAATTATAAAAGTAAAGAAAATGATAAAAACCAAATATTTTATCAGTTTAAAGGACACAATTGAATAGTAAACAATTTTTAGAAACTTATGTATTCCACATAAAAAATGTAATATTAATAGAAAACAGAAACAGTCAATAATGACTGTTTATGGTACTTTTAGTGTTAACTGAGATGTTACACAGAAAAAAAACAAAATAAAAAAAAACAAGATATAATTATCGCTAAAACATCGCAGATTTCTGAAGTTTAGTCTTTAGGTCAATACGCACCAATTTATCACCAACTACGACCATGTGCAAAATCATATTTCCAAAAGTATCTTGCTCGTCAGGATCCGCACCGGAATCAAGCAGCAGGTTGTAGACGCTCTCATTAGCGCAGCAGGCGGCCCAGGCGAGGGGGTATTCTCCCAGATACGCGAGACCCTCGTAATCGGTATTTCTGGCGGGATTCATCCTTTGCTGATCTCGCGGTAGGAAAAAGCTACCGATGGCCCGCTGCGAGATTATCGCGCCCGCCTCGACCAGATCCTGCACGAGCTCGTTATTCGCGTAGGCGATCGCCAGATGAAGAGCACTCGCACCGAGATACTCTTCGCCCTCGACGACGTCAATAGCTAGTCGCGGAAAACACTTGAGCAGTATGCGCGCTATTCTAGTATGCATCCGCGTGTCACATATGATAAGAACGTGCAACAGGGTCTCGCCCAGCGAGCCTCTGTACTGCATCTGCCAGCAGGCCTCGTGATCATTCCACTGCGCTAATGGATCAAAACGCGATAGCGAGGCCTCGATCGGCAACACGACCTGCTCGAGGTCACGAAATTTCCAACGTAGATACTCGGCACGATTGATTGTCTGGCCTTTGCCATCCATATACATTAGGATACCGAATTGCTCACGGATCAGCTTCTCCACCTCTGGCTGACCGCCCTGATTGTACGCCTCGATTAGTTCACCGCCCTTCTTGTAGTTCGCCAATCGATACAATAAACACTGGTCCTCGTTGCTTGCCTGGCTAATCACGCGGTCGAGGATCGAACCGGCGTTGACCTGGCTGTTGCGACCAACGCGGCACGAGCAAACACCACCCATTCAGACATATCTCTTCGCTGTCGATTGGGAAAGACACCGAAAGCTCCACATTGTCGCAGCCGCTATCCACCACCGCGGTCGAGCTGGATTTTTCTCGGTTGTTCATCAGCCAACGTCACCCGAACGGAATTCCTCTCGAGGGTCTTCAGACGTTCTCAAGGTCGAACAGCGCGCCATTTCCGTCGAGATAAAGCGAAAAACCACTTCGCCGTACGACTACTCGCGACCGACTCCATTGATATAACACTCGAGAGATTCTCTTACCCCCCGATAAGAGGGTGGCGCAAGTAGAGAGAGAGCGAGAGTGCTGGTATTTGCGCTATAGCAACCAGCCGATCCATAAGCGGTACCTGGTGCAGACGGACACGACAGGGTCACCACCACCACCACCACCACCACCATCACGCTGCCGTGAAAATTGGGAGCGTTTTTACGGAAACAAATTTATCAAAGACACGCCGCTGGAAGGTGAACATGTGAAACGTCGATTTAGAAACGATGATTTAGAGCGCGTCGTATAACGAGCTAATTTTAAAGCATAATTTCAGCCGATCCGTTTCTCGATCGCGCAATTCGGCAAAGTGACGAAGACCATGACTTACTGGTAACCCGTATATGTCGATCGCCCGACCTTAGCACACTTTCCAGCGGTTGCATACATGCGCAAATGTTTCTCAAGATTGACAAGGCAAGGACGAATGCACTATCGCGTGAAAATAAGGATACGAAAAAAAGTCTGAGGTATAAATAATATACGAAAAATGCTATTATAATCGGCTATGACAAAAGTTATATTTACTACTGTAAAATGGAGTATAATTAGATAAATGAACGATATTAATCATCTCGGTATAATAGTCTGTTTTTATTAATTTAATCAGCATAAAAATATTAATTGCATTTTTTTCGTTGTTTCGTATGCAGCCGCGTTCGCAGCGGGACCTGGTTTCGCGCTTCATTACATCCATATTTACAACGGGAATGTTGAAATCAATTTCCCATCCCCCCAAGTCCGAATAAAACAGAATTACGCGCGACGTGCATCTCTGTTTGAAGTGCATTCGTATTTAACCGAAACGCAGCGAACATTCCATTCTCATCGAATTGGAACACTGCAATAATACGTATATTGTTGCGTTGCGTGTGTCTAGAATTAGTATTACGTCGATACCGTACAAAGTACTAAGCTATCGAGAGATTATGGTATCTCAAGCTTAAACGATACAAACGCACGCCGTTGTATTGATTCGGGCGTGAAAAGCTGTTCGTTTATTTTTTAAGGACAAATTCTCTTTTATTCTCTCGCGAGAAATTAAACGATTCCGCATAACGAGGCATGACTTTCTATACGGCGTGTATTTCATCGCCGCGGACAAATCGTCGTTGTCCTCGTTTGGTGAATGGTATAGCCAATGTATTATACAGCACGGTCACGCTATTGTAAATTGATGCTTCGTCATCCTCCGGATAACTGCGAAAAAAAAACACATTTTTTCAATTCGATGTTTCACCGACGAGCGTCGCCGGATGGATCGAATTGACGTGTGTGGTGCAACAATGAATGGATGCGGAACTACAGATGATACGTATTATAATGTCACATGAATATCTCATTCATATTCAGAAGTAAGTACTTAAGTAAGTAGACATTTTGCGAGTGCAGACGTTAACACTTTCGCAATTGGAGAATCCAAGGCAAGTGTCTGAATGGAGTTGCGAAATTCTTGCGAAAGTTTAGTTAATCTCGAGAATAAAGTTAATATATTCATTATATTCATTATATTAACATATTTATTAATGACACACGCATTGCTGACGTATCAATGTATATTCATTAGTTGAAACAGTACAATTAATCGCAAGGGTTAAACTAGTTTGCAATCGGAGACCTTAATGCCACAACAATGAAAATATTTTTGTAGAACATTGCGAATAACCGCTTTTCTGATAATATTTTCGATTCTTTTTATTATTATTTTATCTTTAGATAAACGCTATATATATTGTTTATTCTTTGCTGTCGTTTTTATTCCAAATATTTGTTAGCCTAAAAAAGATTTTTCCCCATTATATCGGCGAAATGTGCGTAACTGTTTCCGGGGATTAAAATATTTTTGAAAATATTGTTAAACCATGCGCTTTCATTCACCGGCCCTTTCAATTAATACATTGTTTATGCAATTCGATATGCAAACTCACTTTTTTTCTGTTCGTTGCCGAGCGACCGCAACAATACCGTGAGTTTGCACAACGTGATAAACTTCCAAATTTACACAGGCGCGGTAGAATCTAGGGAAAG